CCAAACTAGTTCTTGATTTCTACTGGCTGTTGCACTGCAAGAACCGAAGTTCCGCCAACTTCCCCGCTTCCCCGCGCCTGATTCGTTTGTTCTTTTGGGGATCCCATGGTGTGGTGGCGAAGATTGTTCGACTGCCCATAGATAGGACCTCCGTTGGCAGTGATAGGATCTATCAACCTTGAACCCTGTGGTTGTCCTCTCCGATTCCCACTCAAGCTTGCTGTTCTTCAAGGCGATTCGGCGGCTGTTGCAAGAAGTTGAGGACAAGCTGCTTTGAAAGCTGCACCTGGGGATCTTTCAACTTGAGTTGCCTGTGATGTTGCTTAGAGTAGATAGGAACCTCGATAGTCCGTTTATATGCGGAACTGAGAGTTTCTTTGATGTCAGTCAAGGATACTTACATGATATCCAAGCATATGATTGACAACAACATTCATACATATTTCACATGTCCATCTCTCTTTTGGTATTGATTTCTTCAACTTCCGTCAGATGTTGTAACTTCGTAGCGAAGGCTCTGGCAGAGGCTGTGCTGCCTGGCTCGGTGTGTGCCGATTGCGGTTTCAAAACTCACTGGAGGCGCCTGAGGTGCCAGATGAATCGCATAGCGACAGCGGTTGCCAAGCAGTTCTTTGCTCACTATTTATAGGTTCATGATAGCAATTTCCTCATATCTTAAATTGATATATATATATATAAACAACACGAGACTCAGCAGAAGACTCAACCAGAAAGGAGGACTCAGAACCAAACTTCAAAAACAAGAACTAAATGGAAAAACCAACAAATCTACTGTACATTGATTGTTCTTATTTGGTTTTTCTTTGAGTCTGGACTTGTTTTCTTATTTTGTATGGATTTGTTTATGTATGTTTTTCTTTGTCCTTTTCTTGAGTGTCAGTTTGTTTTTGTTTTGTTGTTCTTTCTTTTTTAGAGTCTCTCCTTTTTGGTCATTCTTGATTTGTTTTTCCTTTTTTCCTTGATTTTGGACCTGTCTGATAAATTCGTGTTCACAATGATAGGTGGAGTGGTGGAATCGGCCAGTGTGCGACTTGCTGGCTGAAGTGGCCGTGCACCCAGAATTTCAACAGACATGAAGCAACATTTCAATGCACAGACATACGCGCTTCGGATTCCAGGTGCAGAGGCCTTCAAGAACATGCCAGGCACCTTGGTACATTGTTCAGTGGAGAAGATGTTTGACTATTCAACATCATTCAACCGTTTTGTGACTGATGCAGGACCCATTATTGTGGTTCCTGGGAAGTGAGTGCAGATCAAAGCATGGCAGAATGGAAAAGTGATGAAAAGTGCCGCGCTAGCTTCACTGCCAAACTGACAAGTGGTTGATGGGATCTTGGTGTAATGCCCTTGTTGCTAGTAGCTTCTTGCTAGATATCGCGATGCACTTGTTACTAGTACCTGATGCAAGCGTTCCATGAAAGAACAAACGCATGTCGCGTGAACTGCGTCTGTCAAGCCGAAGGGAACCGTGGCACGCGACCGCCTGTCGTGTTTGGATGTGACCGCGAAGCCAGACTGCGAAACCTTCGTGTTTGACGGCTTTCAGAGAAGCCAGACATGGTAGATATATGTAAAGCTTTAAAGTGTTTTTTGCCCGATTGCAGCGCATCTTTTTTATTTTTTTGACCAAGTCAACTTTCCCAGAGCCGAAACATATAAACAAATTCATGACTGCCAAGGGTTATATATTTGTCAGTGCCTACCCCATTTGCGAGTGTGCAAATGCGAGTTGCCAGTGTGGATTTGATGCAGGGAAAGCCACTTCTTACTGTCTTGCAGAAACCGTTCTTGCCTTGTTGGGGCATGCGCTTCGATCGAAACACCGTGCTTTGTGTGAAACAGCTTGAAGCTCTCCTTCCACGTTGCTTGTTGCCGCATGCATTCTTGTGTTGCACTTGGCCCACTTCCCGATTTCCCGGCAAAGCTTATGCGATTGCCTTGTCCTCATTCCAGCCGTGAAAGACCATCCAAGCTCGAAATATAGCCGGCAAAGCGTCCCAGCGTTGAAAAACTGACGTTTTTGGGCATCGCATTTCTTTTTCTGCGACTTCGAGAAACACTTTGCTTGTTGCAGAGAAAGCTCTGTGGCCAGTTTCCAAAAAGCGGATCACCCCCCCCCCCACCCTTATCGTTTCAATGGGGGCCAAGGACATTAAAGCAATAGCAACGGCAAACAGAGAAACAAATATCCTGATGTTTACTTTTCGCTTTTCCCGTGCGAAGAGGTAGAGGTGTTTTGCTAAAGCTTGTGTTAGTTCTCACGAAAGGTAGCCCTGAAGAGGGAATACCTTGAGTTTGTCGAAGCAAGTGTGGGCTCCTCTGGATCTAATAATTGATAGTTCAATTCAACCCCCCCCCACCCTTATCGTTTCATCCCGAAGTGGATCACCTCGACACCTCGATGGTTATTTGGTGTTGAGCACTCTAAGCTTGGGGCAGTGTTTGAGTCCATGAAGAGACATCACATGTTGCTTTTAGTGCTTCTTGCCGTTGAGGATTATCATACCACACTGCATATTTTACATGCTTCTTCTCCTCCCGCTGTCCTACCTTTCGTGTATCCCTCTTCTCAAGTAATATGTCGATGAACAAGAGCGGAGAACATCAAAGCCTCTGGCAAACTCTAGGCATCATACACTTTGGCACCTAAAGTGTGGACTTAGAGGTACTGTATTTGCTTGTGGAGGCATGACGTTCTGTTTTTGATGTCCATTTTAATTACCCACTGTGAATGGACTTACACAGCTGGTCTGCATCCGGCCGCAGCACGTACGGTAGGGTGGACTGGCAAATCTGTGTCCCGCAAAGTGAGATTGTTGCGGTACTTTGTATCATTCTTGGTGAGGTAGTTGAAGGCCATCGCTATTAGGTACTGCTGCAAGACTGCTCTCACCAGTCACAGTTACGCCCACGCCTGAACATCCCATGGCTGCACGGCCTTGAAGTCACCGCAAGTGGCTTTTGTTTGGCATCGCAATCGCTTTTTCGTTTCTCCGTTTACCAGTCTGGAGGGGTGGTCACACAGGTGTGGTTCGCTCCGCGCATTCCCACGCTCCAGGAAGTCAACCATTGCTCCATACTGCTCCTCTGGTCTTTGACACCTAGTGCTGACCCACACTGCCATGCAAGGCTCTGTCAGCAGGAGACGTCTCCTGGTTTGTTCCACTGCGTTTGTCGCCCAGGTGTCTCGGCTTCTTGGTCAAACCATGGCTGTCCGGACTCTGACGGTGTCAGGGCTGAGGGTGGCATTCTGAATGATGCCTTGTGCTTGTTTTGATTAGTAAGCCAGGCCTGCCAGGCTTACCAAGTGTCGTAAGTGAGCCAGCCGCCACGAAGGACCTTTGTGAAACTGTCGTCAACAGTGGTAAAGTCGGTAAAGTCGGTAGAGTATCCTTGTGGACCCCTTTGGGGGGTTGTGCTGGGTATGATGGTTATCCTTTCACGTGGTTGCGTTCGTGTTGCTTTGTGCGAGCAGCGAATGAACTCCTGCATTTTTGTTTCTGCTAACAGGCTTTTCTTGCAACGAATGAGAGCGTGTGTGCCCCCCAAACAGCGGGAGGCCCCCAATCTTACAACCAGCAACCAGTATGTGCGAAAACGCTGTGGTGGTTATAGGGCGTCGGCATGTACGCCTTGTGGCATTGCGTCCCAGCAACGGCCCAGGCAACCCAACTTGCCAGCCTTGTGCTTGGGAACTCCATCGCTACTAGGAGCAAGGACGCTACTGGGAGCTCCTGGCCGTACTACTAGGAGCAAGGACGCTACTAGGAGCAAAGGGCATCGCTACTAGGAGCAAAGACGCTACTAGGGCCGTGACCCTTCAAGGCTCGAAGGACTCAGCCAAGAGACGTCTTGCTTTGCCTACACGGTTGTCACTCTTCCAGTGTTGGCGGCGTTTGGAACAACCTGTGTTCAGTTGCTTTGCCCAGCACGCATTCAAATTACCAGTCTTTATCGAAACTAAGGACTTGGTAGGATCAAAAGGGAATCGCGCCAAAACAAGTACTCCCAGATGAACATGTGGCGTCAACCAATAAACAACCCGAGCATAAAAACATGTTCAAAAGCACGACGCAACGATTTCCCACCGTCAAGCCTATCATCTGTGGGCCAATGAGGCATCGGGCGGCCAGGGCACGGCTCACAAAGGACCAGGCGCTCCGCGTGTCAATTTCAACGTCGTCTCCACTTGCGACTGCAAACACCACCAAAGCTGTGGCTTCGCACTCTGCAATCTCTTTTGTCACGTTGTCCTTCTAACGAGTTTCCTTGCCACGAAAACGTGCTTGGTGCTGTTTTGGGATTTCATGCGCATGCTCCGCCTGTGTCAACGCCATGGGCGTGGATTCTTTGAGCACCTGGTCTCGCTCCAGCCCCTGGAGCCGTCGTACGACACTTGCAGTCACTCTTCGGCTGCCGCCGCATACCGCGAGCAGCCGGAGTTCGACAATGATTTGGTCGAACTGCTGGACCGCACTATGTGCCGCGCCCCCACTGGACTACACCTCACATGGCTGGAATGGGTGTGCGGTCGGTGTGGCTGCTGTGCGCGCCCCAACCATGCACTCCTAAACGGAGTGACACTTGGCGACGACTATGCGCGTGGTGGATGTGCCTGGGAACGTGGATGGATCTGCGCCCCTGCCCTGGAGCGTCTCCCGGCTTTGCGTGCACCAGTTTCCTCACCGCTGAACAGCTGGTTTTTCGTCCAGGGCCTACCTGACATAGTTTCTGAACCCAACTATATAGACTAAACAAACCAGTTTTTGGCGCCGACACCGTAGTTTCTGAACGCCCAGTTTCTGAACCTGTGGCTTTAGGTGTCCGAACCCCAGTTTCTAAACCGGGCCCATTTCTGACCTTGACTCTTTGTTCGCCCATTCTCCTCTTTGTTCCCAACCAGCTCACACACCAGCTCCACATGCTCTGTTTGACCTACTCGGCTCAGAAAACGCAAAACATCCGCGTTGACTGGAATGGCCTCACAATACCTTTGGATGGCACAAACCTGCAGCAGCAGTGACCAAGCCGCCGCATCGCGAAGCAGGTCGACAAGGGCGCACAAGCGGGGGCCACGCACATGTTGTTCCCAAACACTTTGCGCAGGAGTAACGAGAGGGCGCGCAGCGGCCACTTTATTAGTCGATTTGAAACATATTTGTTGGAGTCAGAAACTATGGGTTGGGAGGGTGGTGGGGGATGGGTGGGGGGTTAATGACGTTCGTTTGGATATGCTTCGGAGACGATGTCACGCTCAACGTTCCAACGTTTTCAACTTCCGAACCCGAGTTTCTGAACCCCGCATGCCCATGTATTTCCGAACCCAACGTATCCAGGCTTTTGAGCACGATTTCTTGTAGAGCCGACCTTGCCATTTGGTTTGCGAAACCCAGTTTGTGCCACGTTTCCAGTTTCCAACATTACCTTCCGAACCCGGCGTTGTAGTTTCCGAACCTAACGCCGACCCTGCATGGCAACGATGCTTGGCAAGAGGACCTCGCTGGTGGCGTCCAGACACTGAAAAATCAAACGACGGCAGTCGTCTTCCGCTGAGGCTGAGGGTGGAACGAATAGTCAATATTGATGCACAACATGCTGTTCATGGTGAGGTCGCGCGGCACAGCGCGCGGCTTGTGAACCGGTATGCAGCCTAGAGCAAGCTGCACGTGACGCCATTTCAAACACTTCACGGAGAAGGGGCTGCTTGCCTTTCAGTGGACGAACACAGTTCCAAGAACGAAAAGAAGGTTTTGTGGCGTTTGGCTGGACGAAGGTGGTGCCGACCAAAGCATCGACTCGTGTGGTCGGAGAGAAGTAGGCAAGGACAAGAGGAACACGTCGACCACGACCAGGCGCTCCCCATGCCAGAGCGGCAGCTTAACCCTTGATTGCAAGCCAAATGTCTCCAGCTCAGGGTTGCGAGTGC